ATTAAGGACAATAAGCACCCGGTTGTCATATATCTATGCGGCTTTGGGAGTGCTCTGGAAGTGACGATCTTTACTTGGGACCTCCGCGGAGTTCTCTTGGTCAGGTCAACGTTACGCCTTCATCCTTCTTCCAGCTTGGTCCCATCTTGCCCTACCAGAGCGATCCGCCTTGTCGCCAGGAGATGGTTCTTCACAATCCCACCGAGTATCCAATTGAGATATACAGCTTGGAGTTCGACAGGGTGAGCTCGACAGGGGGGGAATATGTTCATGGTCAACTACATATGCTTGTGGTTTAATATCCAAATTCTGAGGAAATTTTTGGAAAATGCTTAGTGCACTTCCAGCCGAATTCATACGGAACCCTCTACAATTAGTGAGGAAACTCCTGAGCTCAGCTGAGGAAAGCGAATATATATTCCAACACTGATCATTCGGGCTTTTGCGCTCAGGAATATATTACTGAGGCGAAGATGCTCAGTGAGTATGATGGCTATGATGAACACGGCATTGCGGAGATGCCGTTGAAGGAAGTGGGGACACCAATATGGCGCCGCATAGCTCAGCACGTCGAGCGCATCAGATCCCAGGCCGCCCAAGAGGGCGAGGTGAGATGCGGGGGAGTGACTCATACCAATGAATGGAGATGCTCTGGTTATCATCCGGTCATGTCTGTATACTCCTCAGGTGCTAGAGGTAGAGACGCCGACAACAGAACGAGTCCCGGATGGGTTGACCACTGAAGTCCTGTTGGACGAGGAGGGCGATGACGTGCCCGAACAGAGGGAGGAGGATTATCCTAATCGTGTTCCTCCAGAGGAACGTCTGTCTGTTATTCTCATTGGACCACCCAAGACGGGCAAGTCTACGATTGCTCACGCGCTGGAAGTGGAGCATTTGAGGAAACGCCTCACTGTAGACGAGTGCATCGATTGGGTTCTCAGCAACCCTAAGAGCATCCGAGATGATTACGTAGCGGAGAAGCTCGTTCGGAAAATCCGGGATGCGCAGGGCGATACTCAAGCTGAATCTGCTGAGGAAGTCCCCACCCTCGAAAGAGATGACGTTGTTGCTGCTATGAGATACCGT